GGCCCCCAGTTGAAATGAGTCGAAGGCCATCCATTCGGTACGGCGCCCTGGATGACATCGAGACCCTTCCATCGTCTCATTGTGAACTCTGTCATTAAAAGTTGTCATATTTCCTTCCATTGTCAGAGGACCCTATCCGGCGCAAGAGATCTTCTGACATTCGGGGCAACGTCCCTGTACAGTTCAGCAGATGTTTCTCTCGCCGATTTGGGTCCGCTTGCCTACACAGGACCCCCTGTTAGGCATAGTGGGCTTCTGACACACACATTGCGCCCCTCATTGTTGCAGAGACCTCGACCAATGTAAATCGCAGGCCCAGTCTGTAGCTGCATGTAAAATAGGCCCCCAGGGCCCAGCGGATTGTTCGGTTTTGGTGGCCAACGCGGGAACCGCAGTTCGGAAATGTGTGTCCCTGACCGACACATGGATCTATCATCATTTCAGGGGCCACGACCAATGTTTGTCCCTGCATGACAAATGAGCCCTTAAAGCCCAAGCCGACATGGAGCCCAGTGCTCGATTTTGGTGGCCTTGCATCGACATAGATCCCTGCATACATGTAGCGTCCCAGGCGTCCTGATAGTAGGGCCGGATCTTCAACTATCCAGGCCTGATAGTTGAAGATCCGTCGCTGTAGTCCGGGGTCCCCGAAGACGATCTCCAGCCAGCCTATCGGGCCTTTCGGGCACTCCAATCGGGCCGTTGGTCGAATGTGTTCGCCATCACAGACATAAACACATTTACGCGGACAAACGATCAACTGCTAGCGGAACAACACATGTGGCGTATGCGTGTTACCGGATACTCATGATTGAGCTCTAGGTAATGACGCCTTGTATGCATTACATGATAGGTAAATTACCCATAACATGCAAGGTAAATTGAGCCAATCAATAATCTGGTCTTCAGAACGATGTCCATATTTATGCGCGTATACATGCAGCGTTTTATGTAACGTTTACGTTGACGTTTTACGTACACGTAACGTTTACGTGCGTACATGTGACTTAAACGGTGGATCAGACCGGATCAAGCTACATATGTATTTCGCATTATACACACGGAGAATGGCATAGCGTGTGACGACCTGACTTGCGAAGACAGTTTCCATTTATAAGGCCGGATCGTGGTCATGAAAGAAATTACTACGGGGTGTAGAGGGGGGGGGGGGGGGGGGGGGAGGGGAGTGGTGAACATGTCTACTGATGTGTTCAGCGTGGGATTTTGTCCCCACAACTAGTTCGTGTATAACGCGTGTTTTTCCCATTTTTCCATTCCAAATGCCATTTGCAGGTCAGATTGTCCCCATATCCCAGTCTGACGTGACGCCTCCAACCCTGATCCTTCCCCCCAATACAGAGGCGTAGTTACACCTATGGTTAGACCGTGTATCACAATTGGCACGAGATGGCAATTGAAAATAGCAATCCCTTTGCTGAAGAATCAAACACACATGGTATTCTGCGCATGCATTGATTACGCGGCCTGGAAGAAATTATTCTGACAGTGAGGTGTTCCGTGCGGGCACGCACACGCCTGTAGTCAAATGCGCATGGCACACCCCCGATACTGGCTTGGTCATCGCCCCTTTGTGTCAGTCCGCGAGTGTCAGTCTGCCAGCTTCCATAGGATGGGTAATTACGTGGCGTGGTGAGGTCCAAGGTGGAACCGATCGAAGGCTCTGTTCGTGGAAAAGCCGCCTCCTTGGAAAAGGACTGAGGGCAAATATTGCTTCGCGAATCCGCCCCTCCTTTCAGCGGTAGCTCTGCCACATCGCAAACAACCGTTCGTCGAAGAGGCCGACCGGTGACGCCAGTAACCAGATATTCAAACATTGTCATGCTATAAAGAAGCAATCATCTACTGATATGGTTGTTTTTTGTTCAGTCGGCTGCTTGTCTTCCTGCTTCATTCGACAGCATTCGCCCCACCAGAGTAACCATGGGCAAACTAGGCTTTACGTGCGGCCACACTGTCGACGACATTGCCATCCCCCGTCCTGCTACAGGTCGGCTCTGAGATCGGGCGCTCGGGACGCCAGACTGGGACCAACACCGGCCAAGCTTAAACCGGGCTGCGGCAATCTAGGTTCGGAAGCGACCGACGTGGGGCCGACCCAGCCGCGATGCAGGAGAGATAAGACAGGACGGCACACCGAACTCTGTCGAAACTCGCCCCAGACTCAGTCAGTTTCCGTACTTTTGCTGACCTGCAATAGCCTGCCTGCATAACCGGCGGCACATGGTGGCGCGGTTTGTTTCGGCCACTCGTCGGTGAACGCCTTCTTCACAATGCACCCGGCCCAACGGATCAGACTGCCACCGGGTTGTCTCTTTGGCCGCGCCCGGCAACGACACCGGAACTTTCCGCTGGCGTTGTGAAGTGGGTGGCACTGGCGACCACCAGTGTCCGACAGGGCCGACCTGGGGACGCCGCCAGTGCTGTCCGGAGGCCGACCTGGGGACGCTCGCAGTCCCGTCCGCAGGCCGGCGAGGACACGCTGGCAGTCCTGTCCAGCGGAGCCAGTGCGAGGACGTTGGCAGTCCTGTCCGGGGGAGCCAGTGCGGGGACGCTGGCAGTCCTGTCCAGCGGAGCCAGTGCGGGGACGCTGACAGTCCTGTCCGAAGGCCGGCGAGGACACGCTGGCAGTCCTGTCCGGAGGCCGGCGAGGACACGCCGGCAGTCTTGTCCGGCGGAGCCAGTGCGGGGACGCTGACAGTCCTGTCCGGCGGAGCCAGTGCGGGGACGCTGGCAGTCCTGTCCAGAGGCCGGCGGGGGGACGCTGGCAGTCTTGTCCGGCGGAGCCAGTGCGGGGACGCTGGCAGTCCTGTCCGGCGGGGCCAGGGTGGGGATGCTAGCAGTCCTGTCCGGAGGCCGGCGGAAAGTTCCATTATGGCAGGGTTGAACCAGTTCCGCAAGGGGGCAGGAGGCCTGGAGCCGTTTACGTGGACAGTGCAGTACGCGAATTATAGGGCGGCTGTCATGTGTGAGGCGGCGGATCAAAGAGGAAGGAAAGGAGGCAGGGAGCAGCTGCGACACTCCCCCCAGACTCAGGGTAACATTCTATATTAACCCTCGGCGGCATATGAAAATAAATATACAAGATATTTGCCGCCCTATCTCCACGGGGGTTTCGCCGCCACTGGCAGGGGGTGTAGCAATCCCACAGACAAGCGGTGGTCGCCTCTGATGCGCAGTGAAGCCGTGAGGAAGGATGCCTTCAGAAGACACCAACGGGCGTGATTATAATGCTTTGCTTGCTACGCTGTGTACAATCCGGTGGAGTCTACGCTGAAAGCCTGGCTTGCACAGGTGCAAAATGCGGCAGGAAGGTGTGGTAGCGACCACATTATCTTCCGTCCCGATGATTACTGAAGTATTTCTCCGCTGTATGTTCCTCGTTTCGACAGTCTACTAACCCCCACTTTTCTTATTCTTCGCCCGTGATGCGCTTATCATAAATGCCTCTTTGACCTTGCCAAGTGTATTCTGTTTGTTCTCCGATTGCCTCAGTTTCATCGACATCATGGTGCATGGACATAATTTGCAGATGCTGACCACCAATCACGTGCCTCTCCTAATCGTCGTCGCCTCTATTTCAGCCAAATTCGCCACTGCCAGGTGAACTGCTGCTAGAATCTCTGAAGAACATCCGTTCCCAAGATCTGAGGAACTTCTACAGTTCTAGAGAAAAGTTCAGCACTTCTCGCCACCCTGGTGGTAATCCGGTTCGGCGTGTAGCCTGCAGTGCGAACCGGGCTTAAGCGGTACTTTCTGCGCCGTCGAGTTGCTCGCCAGGCAGAGCCGTTCACCCATGGTCAACAGAGCGAAAGGCATTTGACAGCATATATTTCACGAACCTCGTGCATCCCAGGCAACACGACGACGTTAACGGGCGCCACGCAGTGCTGCTTTTGTGACGAGGGCGTGACCGACGTTCAACGCATTGGTACTTAATAGGAAATAAGTAGGGACATCATCGCCCAATGGCAAACGTGAACAATGGAATTGCATTCTTGCATTTTTCTTACGAGCCCAGTGAATACACAAAGGCAGGCAAAATAGAAACAAAGGTCTCTAAAAACAGTAACCGCGAAAAGATTTTGGATTTTCGCTACAACTTAACAGCATGTCCGCCTATACTACGCATGACCTCAAGTGTCGTCAATGACCTTATTTTCTAGCCTAGCTTACGCTGCGGGGCTAGGTTTGCAGCGTCCTAAAAGAGCATCCGGCGTACAAGGGACAGTGGCAGGAAAGTACAGTACAGCATCAAAGGGGTACGGCTGGGCTCCCCAAGCAGGCGCCGAGCCGGTCACTGGACGTGCGAAACGGGACAGAAATACAAGACAGAGCAAAAGAAATGCATGGGCGGAAGCTAGTCGACCGGGCCTGCCACGCCCTCACCCGGGGTCGTGCACGGAAGACAGCGCCGTTCATACCCGGTTCGGGGCCGTCCGTACCCGGTTCGGGGCCGTCCGTACCCGGCTCGGGGCCGTCCGTATCCTGGCCCGGGGCCGTCCGTACCCGGTTCGGGGCCGTCCGTACCCGGTTCGGGGCCGTCCGTACCCGGCTCGGGGCCGTCCGTATCCTGGCCCGGGGCCGTCCGTACCCGGCTCAGGGCCGTCCGTACCCGGTTCGGGGCCGTCCGTACCCGGTTCGGGGCCGTCCGTACCCGGCTCGGGGCCGTCCGTATCCTGGCCCGGGGCCGTCCGTACCCGGCTCAGGGCCGTCCGTACCCGGCTCGGGGCCGTCCGTATCCTGGCCCGGGGCCGTCCGTACCCGGTTCGGGGCCCGTCCGTACCCTGGCCCGGGGGGGGACGTCCATACCCTGGCCCGGGGCCGTCCGTATCCTGCCCGGGGCCGTCCGTACCCGGCTCAGGCCGTCCGTACCCGGTTCGGGGCCGTTCCGTACCCGGTTCGGGGGCCGTCCGTACCGGCTCGGGGCCGTCCGTATCCTGGCCCGGGGCCGGTCCGTACCCGGCTGCATGGGCCCTTCCGTACCCGGTTCGGGGCCGTCCGTACCCGGTTCGGGGCCGTCCGTACCCGGCTCGGGGCCGTCCGTATCCTGGCCCGGGGCCGTCCGTACCCGGCTCAGGGCCGTCCGTACCCGGCTCGGGGCCGTCCGTATCCTGGCCCGGGGCCGTCCGTACCCGGCTCAGGGCCGTCCGTACCCGGTTCGGGGCCGTCCGTACCCGGTTCGGGGCCGTCCGTACCCTGGCCCGGGGACGTCCATACCCTGGCCCGGGGCAGTCCGTATCCTGGCCCGGGGACGTCCGTACTCCCAGCTCGAGGGCGTCCATACTCAGACTCGGGGACGTCAGTACTCCCGGCTCGGGGAAGTCCGTACCCCCGCTTGGGCACGTCCGTACCCCTGCTCGGGGACGTCCGTACCCCTGCTCGGGGACGTCCGTACCCCTGCTCGGGGACGTCCGTACCCCTGCTCGGGGACGTCCGTACTCAGGCCCGGTTCCGCGCATCGGCCAAATCGGGCTGAACGCGTTCGAATCGGTGTCTCGTAACAGACCGACAGCACCGGACCGGCCGAGCGGTGCACCGACCGGCGCGCAAGCGATCCCGAGGTCCCACGACACCCTCCCCGCTCCCCCCTTGAAGGCACTTTCTCCCAACCCAGCCACAAAACGCGCGCGTACACAGTATATGCGGTAATCGTTATTGGACCTCTACTGGGCCGGGCGGCGGAGGCGGCGGCCACGACGGACTGTCGGCCGCTCACTCGACCTGCACGGATGGCGGGATGGACGTGGTGAACGACGGCGTCTCCAGCTCCTCGTGCTTCTTCATCTTGGTGCCCTGCGGACGGTGGGTGGCGTTAGCGGGCGGCGGCTCCACACACGGGCGATGGACCGCACGCAGAGGCCCCGAGAGAGACGCAACAGCGCTCAGCGACAGCCTTTCACACGGCGAGGCATAATGGTGTGAGACCGCCGGCATCATGAGCAGTTCTAAGAGGATGCATTCAACCAACAGAAACTGACCTCTCAACCCTGGCAGGGTACTGAAGACCTGACCTTTTCCTGACTCAGTGGGGCGTGGCAAATAGCGACGGCTGCCAGTGGAGGCTAGCTAGACAAACGCTTCTGAGGACACAGCCTGCCGTGGGAGTCCCGCCCACTGAGTTCGCGTGGGATCGCCAGCCGGCGGGCGGGGCGGCGGACCGAGGCCGGCCGAGTACTCACGCAACAGCGGCTGGCCCCCGCTCCCTGGCCGGCGGCGGGGAGAGACAGAGGGACGGAGCGGCGGTCAGCGCCACCGGGACCGCTCGCTCGACGGCGCGGCGCGACGGGTGTCAGGGGTCGACGCTAGCACCTCCACACACACGACGGCAAGTGGGGCTCAGCGTTTAGAAGCCCCGGCAAGTGTTCCCAGCAGAGCGCCTGGACCCCAGGAACCTGTCATGGGACGCTACGACTGGAGTAAGTCCAGCGTGCGGCGCCCTGCACAGCCAGCGCAGGCGCCCTGCTGTGCGGGGGACGAGCGGCCTGGCGCCGCGGCAGTGGCGCTGGCTGACCTGCTGCAGCTTGTAGTGGTTGATGATGTCCTGGTCGGCCGGACACGACTGGGTGAACGCGTCCAGCAGGTACATATGGTGCATGTACCGCCACAGGTTCTCAAACTCGGACGGAATCTCGAACTCCTGGAAGAACTTGCCTGAAACACGAATCACAACACGCGCTCGGTCAGTGCACTTGAATATGACCGCACAAACGTACGCGCTGACCTGTGGCATAACGATGCCTAGATCTAAAATAGAGAAATGACGGGCCAACCGTACACTGCACCAGGTTATACGCTCATTTTTCAAGCAGCCGCTTCATCTAATACTGGCTTAAAGGAAGGCTGGTGATCAAAACAACACATATATCGGCCACGTTGGCATGTACAGAGCCTCATGCCATCTGATGAAGGCGCAGTGCAGACATACGAACGCTGCGAGCAGCAGACTGTTCGCAGCAAACTTGTCACGACCCAGCTATGGCCAAACAACCCATTTATTTCTTTTAACAGTACATGTCGAGACATTCTTTAATATCAAAAACAACAATAAAACGACATACTTGGCAAAGCAAAGGCAATATCTTTGACGGTACACTATGGTAACACCGAAAGTAACACACGTCGCTCCAGGCCACGCCGACCCTGACCCCTCCCTGCCCGGAAGGGACAGCCTCCTGACCGCGCCATCGGTACGCCGCGGTACGGCGGTCCCTGACCCCCTCCCTGTCAGGAGGGGTCAGCCTCCTGACAATGTCGCCGTTACGCCACGGGTCGGCGGCCCCTGACCCCCCAAGCCAGGGACAGCCTCCTGACCGTGCCGTCGTCACCCACCAGCGACGCGGATGTGCTGCAGCTTGGGCATCAGCTCGCAGTCGAAGCAGCAGAGCGTCTCGCCCGTCAGGAAGCGCGTCTTCTTCTGGCCCAGGTGCTCGTCGATCTTGCGCAGCACCGACAGCAGCACCTGCTTCGAGTGGTCGTCGCCCTTCATCAGCATCAGCTTGAATTTCTGCCGGGGGAAATATGCGAGCTTCAACACGGAAGCCGACGGCTGTCATGGACGCCAACTGTTGTGGAAAGGCTGATCAGACTGAGCATGCTTGCTGCACTAACACGTCATGAGGGATAGGAGTGCGTCTACCAAATAACACAGCGCTAATACCTTGCTGTGAAGGCAAACGCACAGACATGAGCGCCGGCGATTTAGGAACACCACAAACCGACGCCCTCGGCAACAGAGACGGCGTCAGTGTTACGAGCCTGTCTGCAATCCATAAGTGCCCCATCATTTCGCGATGCTCCTCCACTGTCTGCCTCGCTGGTCCCCGAGAGCCTGTGAGGCCACTGTACCGCACGGCGCTCCCGACTGCGCCACGCGTGGCACTTGATAGCCTCGTTATCCGTAATCCGGCCCGACTCGGCTGCGCCGGGCGCGGCCACTATCTGGCCAACGCCGGGATTACTCCCGAGCCAGGCCCGGCGCCAGTCATGACCGGAGCCAGAGCCAAGCCGGAGCCGGAGCCGGAGCCGGAGCCGGAGCCGGAGCTGGAGCCGGAGCCAGAGCCAGAGCCGGGTCCGAGGCCACCAGAGCGGGAGCCGGCGTCGGCCCACAGACACACTCACCAGGCGGTGACCCACCCCCGCGGCACCCGGCGGTGTCTACAGAAACAGCATGCGACGGGGGGGGGGGGGGGGGGAGCAGCGAGCTCGGCGGCAGTTGCCCTCCAATCAGCCAACACAGGTCAGCACGCACCCGCGACGGCCCCCCCCCCCGCGGCGACAGCGGGGTTCCATCAGCTAAACAGGCGGCCACAGGAGATCTGGACCTTATCAGGAGATGAGAAGCCACGGCCATTCCGACGGCTGCACGGCGCCCGAGGACCGACAGTACCCCTAACCGAGGAGTTACTCCAGCGGGAAATACAACCGACGCAGCCACGAGCCCGCGGGTGTCGCTACGTTCCCATACGCCGCCATGGATACCACAGACGGGCGTCGACGGCGCGATACGGGCATGCTGCCCGCCGCCAGATAGACGGGGCTTGGAACGAGGCCGGGAGTGACGGCGGCCAACGGCGGTCCAGCGCAGTAAACCACGGGATAAACCACACAGCCGACGCGTTCCCGTTAGTTATATGTTGACGCTGCCGCCGTCCTCGGTAAACTGAAGCGCTCGCCTCAGCGGCGGCACTACAGCGGGACCCAGGCGACAGGCGAGCACGCTCCGGCCGCCCTCCCCCTCCCCCGTCACAGATCGTCCGTGAGCTGACCACCACACCCCAGGCTACGCCCGCACAGCCACTCGGCGCTCTGCTCGGTCGCCACGGGCCGACCCCGGCCGACCCCCGCTGCGTCACAGCGCCGCCGCAGCCGCGCCTCGTCACCGTCCATATCCCCGGCCGCACCATCAGCCGCACGCCCAGCCTAAAGAGGCGTGTAACGGCCGGCGGCCGGCCGCGATGGCCGACGGCCGCCGGGCGTGACGGACGAGCGGCCGGCCCGGCGCCGCGCACTCACGCTGTAAACGTTCTCGATCTTGGTGGCCACCTCCTTGTCCTGGACGAACAGGTTGTGGCCGCCGGGCACGTTCTTCATGATGTGCCGCTCGATCTTCTCGTTCTCGAGCACGGCCAGCCCGTTGTCCACCAGGATGGGCGGCGACGTCGCGTCGAAGTTGGACCTGGAGCACACCGCAGGCGGCCCCGTCAGCGGCAGCGGGCCCCCCGCAGGTCGGCGATCGAGCCTGACAGCCTCCGACACTACGCGATGAAAAATGTTAGACGAGCGTGCGGGTATGTTTCAATTTGACTGGTTTTTGCGTGATGAAAGTGGCGGCCTGGAGACTATAAACAATGAATTTTAAGATCTGGACGACGGAAAAACGAAATGAAGAAACGAACGCTAAAATCATCGACAACTCAATTTGCGATTTTACACAACCGGCTGGACCGGACCATATTCAAACTGAATATCAGTGAATTCACGACATTTGTTATCTTCGAAACATGCTGGAAAGACTGGAAGACATGCAGCCTGATGAATTGGTCGTCATATCTCGACTATATTCGGGATGTTCAGAGAACTATTAGATCAAATTTCGAGCCCGCCAGTACTTTTAAGGACACACAACTCCATGGCAAACATCTGTGTGACTGTAAACACAGTGAAAAGGTCAGTGGCCCATCTACTGTTTAATCTGCCCCAGTCCACTACCTCAACAAAAGTGAAGTTCGTCAAATTAAAACGCCTGGGAAGGTGTCCCAACAAGGCCAAGGCTGTCTGCCACTGATGTGGAGAAGTTCTAAGCTAGGGATCATGATATTTTACATCTACAACTACTTACATCTCTTTGCTTGGTTTCTCAGCACTGGGTTTGGCGCCTGATCGGCTCCGCATCTCATTCATACAGGCATTTAGACATGAGCTGCAACGGACGTCTAATAACAGGCCAGGCGGGGTCGACCCTGCCATGACGTTCCGTTATGGCCATTTCCCATAAATGTATAGCACGGCGGGAGTACGACGGCCTGCATACGCGGCGCTTCGCACCACGCCGGCGGTGGCGGCCCGGCGCGGTCCACGTCAGCGGGGACCGCCGCCGGCCGCCGGTGACGGAGCGTGAAGCCCGGCGCGGCGACAGATCCCATGCATAGCGGTGCTGCCGGGATCAGCGCCGATAGCGCCGGTCGGCCCGCCGGGACGGCTCGAGGCCGACAGATTCATGACCTGTCGCAGCGCGGCTCCACGTCTGACCGGCGACCCGACCTGGGCCGGAAGGGGCCGGCCACGCTCCGACGGTCGTCCGCCAGGCTTTCTGGACCGTGGTCAACTTCCAAGCGTTTGTATGCTAAATGGACGAGTTCTTTAAATACTGCATACAAATATGTACCGAGCCAATAGTCAGCCAGGAAGAGAGGCAGCAAGAAAAGCGCTCGCAGTTTGGAGTTTTGAATCGCACCCCGCTGGGGACGATTGTTGAGGATCACGCAGCTCCACTATTCTCGCTCTATTTCCCAGCCGTCGGAGGTACCGTTAAGCAAGAGTGCACCCTGGGAAGTCAGGTCGTCACTGCTTTAACAGCCACGATGGGAACACGTGTGTGCCAGACGCCTAGCAGTCGTTTGGATCTCATCAGTTTAATTATCTTACAATGTCTCGAACACAGTTACTCGCCACTGGATGAGGCGACGAAACGGCTCGCCATCTGCATTTCAATGAAGCCAATGAATCAAATGTAGGGTTTTTACGATTTAAGATGATAAATAAAACAATCGAAACCAGTCACGTTTGAACTGAAAACACTGGGAACAGATATATCTCCAACAAAAAGGATGAAAACAGGCCAAGGTTATAGAACCCCCGAGGATCAGACCCAAGAACCCATATGTGCCATCTATCGGCCGAAAGGGTTACTAGAGCTTCCGTTACCTGAAATCTGGAGGCGGTTTCAGCATGTCGACGGTGGTGACCTTGAGCGAGATGGTCTTCAGCTCGGCCAGCAAGTACAGGTCCATGAAGTACTCCTGGCAGAACAGACACGCTCCCTTCCGCCGGCCATCGATGGTCGAGGCCTGCAACACAGCCGACCGGCCGCGTCAGTCGGACTGCACACTACGGCAGCTCACCCGCATGGTGACAACACGCTCTTCTGAGTCCTGGCAGGGGCGCTAACCGATTGATAGGCACGGGGTCAATGGGTTAACGCGCCCGATACATGAGACGTATACAGAGAAAACTGCGGCGCACATGACATAGCGCGGACGCTGCTTTCCACAAACATCACTTCAGGGGATCTGGTGGCGGTTTTTGTATGTTTTTTTCGGAGGTCGCAACGGCGGCATACAAATATAGAGCTGCACCCCGTTCTATACCACTCCCAGCAGTATCGTCATACACCGGCTGCAGGACGGCTGACGTCCGCCGGGCTGCAGCCGTGCGTCATCATCTGTCCAGCTCCACCCACCACAGGCTGGCCCACCCGGGGGGGGGGGGGGGGGGAGGAGACAGCGGGGACTCGTCAGCCCCGGGAGGAAGTGCCAGCCCGGGGACGCCTCCGCTTGCGGCGTCTCCGCGTATGGGGTCGTCGTCACGGCCCCACACGCGCTCACAATGTGCCGCCGGGTGAGCAGGTGTGCTGACTCACATCCGCGCCGACGACCTCAGCGGCTCCCGCCACGGCTGGCCGACGGGTCGTCAGCTGCAAACGGCGCCCGGCTCCGGCTGCAGCCCGCGCCGCTCGCACCGTACCGAGAGCGCGGCCTGGTTCCGGAACCCGCGGCCTGCCGCCGCCGGGCTCACCTCGCCCACCGACTGGAGGGAGGTCACAGGCGCCGACCTCTCCCAATGCCCACAGTCTGGTCATACGCGAGGCGTCGGGGTTTTAAGGGAAGCAGCGCGTGTGACGAATGAAGAAAAATGCTACGCACACCATCGAGCTTCAGTTCCCTCCCCTCCCCGCCCCCCTACGGTCGGTATGACAACGCGACGGCAAATGCTAACGCAATTAGAAGCCCCACACGACAATACACATGCGCCCTCCGTCTCAGACCGAGCGAGCGGCCGGCGCCAGCGCTCCAGCCCAGTGTCAGTTCGTCAGCGTGACCGTCGCCGCCCGAGGTCGGAGCTCGCGCCGGTCCTCAGAGGCCTCCGGCTGCGTGACCGTCGCCGCCCAAGGTCGGAGCTCGCGCCGGTCCTGAGAGGCCTCCAGCTGCGTGACCGCCGCCGCCCCCGCTGCCCGCCGCTGTTGGCGGCGCTGAGCACGGCCGCGCTGCCGGGTCAGCCCCCGCGGGCCGCGCTGCCCGCCGCTGTTGGCGGCGTTGAACACGGCCGCGCCGCCGGGTCAGCCCCCGCGGGCCGCGCCGCCCGCCGCTGCCGCGCCACGCGTCACGTCCGACATTCGGCGACGCGGGGGAGGGGGGGGGGGGGGAGGTGTGACGGGTGCTGATAGCGTCATGATAGCCTAATCACGACATGATAGCAGAATCGGCCCCCCAGCCGCCCGTCCGTGCCGACCTACGCGGCGGTACTTCTGCGGTACAAAGTCTGAGCAGAGCAGACTCTGTACCGCAGAGACCTGCGGTCAGCACCTGGGCGCCACTTACGTCTGGAATTGTAGTACCGTAAAGGACTCGGGGCTACCTTCCGATGTTCACCCATGGCGTGCTTACGACAGATCTACAGACCGTCTGCTATTACAAGATCTCATCACCATGACTAAAGTTAAACACATCTCTTGTTAGAGTATACGTCAACCGCGCGCGTTATCATGAAAGTAGTAACACCTCACGAATGAAAAAATGCCGCAAACCAGCTAGCTACATGTTCACAGCGATTTTCTGACAAGCCGTATTTCATGGGCCACCAAACCAAACATTAACTTTCCAAGGTAGCTGTGATTATGGCATGACACAGAATACGTTCTCAATGGCTACACATGTATAAGTGCCCGGGCAATGGCACTCCGGAAGAACAGGGGGCACCGTTGCCGACAACATCGGATGGCGTGCAGGCAGCGTGGAGACGCTCACGCTACGGCTCGTCCAATGGGCGCACGGCCCTGGCACACGCCGGAAGCGGACCACTTCCGGCGCCGACCGCTATCAGGTGGGCGGCGTTCGTCTAAGGCGCCGACCGCAAACACAGACGGTGGGCGATCATCACTGCTGAGACTGCCACCGCCAGGCGTCCCCGGTCAGACGGAAGACTGCCACAGCGAGGCGTCTCCGGTGGGAAGAACGACTGCCACAGCGAGGCGTCTCCGGTGGGAAGAGCGACTGCCACAGCGGGGCGTCTCCGGTGGGAAGAACGACTGCCACAGCGAGGCATCTCTAGTCGGAGGGCCGGGCCGAGCAGACAACAGCCAGAGCCCAGCACGGCCTGTGCTGAGACGCTGGCGAGAAAACGCAAAAAAAAAAACAAGAAAAACAAGCGCGCCGATGAAGATCGCGCAACTTGGAGTTGCATCACTCACCAGTACTCGGACGGTATCGAACGCTAAGCTCCCACTTTACCACATCTGATCGACCACGAGCGCCCGCTGTTACCGCCTCCACGTCAAACCGGTATCAGGTCGTACGAGACCGAACGCCGCCCGTCAGATATCTCGGACTTGTAGGACGTGCGGTCCGGACTTAACTCGCAGGGTGGCATTGCGGTCAGGGACACCGTGCTCCATGGACTCCTCGCCTACTGTTGTATGGCCAGGTCTATGCACCGTCGCATCATATTCACACCCCGCAGTTCTATACACCAACTCTCATACTCTCACACTCTCCACATCTCACACATGACTCTCATATACACTCTCCTCGTCCGCCGGACCAAACAATGCGCCCTCTCCCGGACTCATGCCCAGTGCGACACCCCGCCGTCACCGAATCGACTGTCGGAGTCAAATTCGGAGGTAAGCCAGGTCTCCTAGATTCGAAATTGGAGCCGACTTGAAATTACAATCGACTGAAAATTGCGCCGATCTGTTCTCAGCCCAAGCCGGATCTCGGACACGCCTCTGACCAATCTCAGCGTTGTGCGTCGGAGCTGTGCCCTGGAGCGGGATCCAGCACAGATCCGCCAGGCTCCGCACATGACCTGCGCTGCTCAGGGGACGCCGAGCCCAGCCCAGCGGAGCCCGGCGGCCGGCCCCAGCGCCGGCCGCTGGCCGTCGGCAGCCCTCCCGGCACCGGGCTGGTCGGCGCCGGCGGCTCCGCCTGCAGCCGCGCCGTCCGCGCCCGCTGCACCGCACACTGACGCGCCGCAGTCGCACAATGCCCGGCCTGATAGGCTCCAGCCCGCAGCCCGCTACAGTGAAAGGCGCGCGCACACCAATGTGTGCCGCAGCAAGCGGCCATCCGAAGGTGATACGCAGGCGAGCGAGATCAACGCAACGGCGGAACACGAGCGCCGTTGCGCCGTCACCATCCCTCTATGTAAATTTCTCATCACTCCGCTACAAGGACTTTGTACAGACAATTTTCCACGGCGCACTTAGCATATGTGAACGGGCCAGCTGTTGACACAGCGGGAATGACGGGGCTCCGGCTCCGCACCTCACGCCGCTGGCCAGCTGACGCGGCAGCGGCCGGCAGGAGAGCCGCGTCATCAGGACCGACTCTGCGCTCGGCAGGCACGGCCCGCGCGCACTCCTCGAAAGTGAAGGTATGTGCAAACAAACAGCGGCTCAGGTCAGCTATCACAGACGGTGAAGGGGGAGGAGGGAACAGCCAGCGCCGGGCCGGTGCGAGTGTCCCTTTATCATGAAACAGAAAGGGACATGCTACATGACTTTGCTCTCCAGCAAATAAGTGGACCGTTCAACGAACAATGGGCCACTCTAACTCCCCCAATGACCCAGAGGCGAAGCGAACCGTCGACAACCCCGGACGCTGGCGGGGGGGAGGCCGATGTTCCGGCCGGCCGACCGGCTGGGCGGCCGACAGCCGTGACGCCCGCAGACCGCGGCCGGACGATTGGCGGGCACGCGCCGGCCGTGCGCCGCCTCTGAGCGCCACTCATTACGGCGCACTAACTGAATCACGGCACGGAACGGCCAGCGGCGCCGCTCCGGCCGGACGCGGCAAAAACAGGCCCGCCGGCCAGCGGCGGCGGCGGCGGCGGCGCCCGTGGTGGCGGTGAACGGCGCCCGCCGAACGGACGGACGAACACGGCGCGCAGCGGACGGTGACGTCAGCGCGCGCCGCCGCCGGCCGCCGGTCAAGGACGCCGACACGACCTACACGGCCGCCGAACAACGGCCAGCCGCGCACCGGAAAAGCACCGCGACACGCAACCCCGCGATCGCCTTATGATTTCTCATCACGAGTATAAACATTAGCCTGTCGACGAGGGGCAATGAGCGTGCGTGCAGCCAAGGACACCTATATCAGAGAGGGAGAGAGAGGGGAGAGAGGGGGGGGGGGGAGAGAGGAGGCCCGCAGTTTCGCTGCTGCGCCGCCCAGTCCGGTTCTCCAGACGCGCTGTGTTCTGTTGCCGGCTTCCGTACCTGCGCTGGGCGCGCAGGCGGCTTTGGGTGCGGGAGATGCCGTCAGCGCGCAGCCGTCGGGCGGGCGGCGCGCCCTCCTGCCGGCGGGGGCCCGGCCCGGCTGAGTCAGACCCCGCCGCACCCAGCCCGGCCCGTCCCAGGCCTCCCAGAGTCACTCATCGCCAACCGCCACACGGAGAAACACGTCATGGGGACACAGCGTCATCGGGACGCGGCGTCATCAGCAGTCACATGTCAGGCGTCAGGCGAGCGACAGCAGCCGTTTGTAATCAGACGTTCGTCTCCAGGCACGCTCGTCTTCGACGGACCTTCGTCACCGCGACGCACGGGTTATTCTTCAAAAGAATCACGTCAACGCGGGGCTTTGGACATCAGGAGGCTGCAGCCACCAGGAAATTTCGTCATGAGAAGACGTTCGACATCGGAAAACCCTCCCCACCCAGGGATGCCCACCGGCGAGACCTCTCACCACCACAAGACTGATGCTTAGGAGACTTTCGTCTCCAAGAGGCGCCCGCCCGTCTTCAGGAAAGGCTCGTCATCAGCAGACTCTCGTCGCCAAGATGACCACCATTCAACAGATTCCTACACCCACGCATGCCCGCCATCAGACGCCCTTCACTGAGAAATGACCGCCATGAATAGAGGTCCGTAATCAGCAAACTTCCGTTGCCAAGCGACATCCGTCCCCAAGACACTCATCTTCAACAGATGTTCGCCATCAGGGACACGACGTCATCAGGGGCCCCTTGCCATCACGAGACACCCGTCGCGGGGGAGCGTCCGCCATCAGAACCGGCCACCAGCCCACCGTTACCTGGACAGCGGATAGTGGACAGCAGACGATGGACAGTGGACAGCGGCCGAGGCGCGCCTACCGACGGCCGGGCCGCCGGCCCGCTCGGCCCGGCCCGGCTCGACAGCGCGACGCCCGTGGCCTTGAGGGGCTCGGCGGGGTTCGGCCGCGCGGATGAGCCGGCGCGGCCTTTGCGTGTGGCGAAACCCAGCCGCGTCGCCCCGCGCGGCGGCCGGCGGAGGCGGGCCGGCGGAGGCGGCCTGCGGACGGTGTCGCCGGAGTCGAGACGCTGCACGGTCCGCCGACTCGGCGCCGAGCCGACGGAGCGGGGACCGAGGCCGACGCGACAGCCACTGCACATCACGACATGTGGTACGTCAGGCTCACATGTGGACGCGATCAGCAGACCATTCATACACGGCACGTGCTTGAGTTCAGGGCCAGGTCAATAACGTGGGCACCAAACACCAATGCAAAACCACATGGCATACCTGAGGTCAGGTCTGTTCGAGCATGCTGCTGTCTCAATTCAGGTCATGCGGAGCGAGAGGGATGGCAGAGGCCGAGGTCAAGCTAATCGGAGCTGTCGGGCGCGCCGGTGGCGACGATAATTCAGCGCTGTGAAGCGCCTGGACGGATGGACTTATCACGACGACCGAGTGATGACACCAGCGTCAGTGGAGCCGGCTGGCAACCGAGCGATGCTCAAGACCGTAACACTAACAGCGGCGTCAGCGGCCGTCCAGCCCACGCCCGCGGGCTGAGAGCAGGGCCTGGACCTGAACCTGGCCGGTCCGGCGACCGCGCCGGCGAGGTGACACGCTCCAAACTGGTACACAGTGACAGGGGCGCTGCAGTACACTCCCCAGTTCAGCAGCGCCCATGACCCGTCACGACAAGCGCCGCGCGGCCTCGCGCTGCTCGCGACGGGCCACGGCTCGCTCCGTCCGTCAAGGAAATCGACCCGGCTCCAGAGCTAGACACGCCTCGAAGCCCGCCGGTCTCCTCCACCGAGGCTGGCTCATTAAATCAGCGGCGCGCGGCGGGCCGCTGCTAACGTGGACAGTCGCGACATTAGGCCTGCACTTGGGCCGCCGCGCTTAAAGGTCGGATTGCACACTAAAGTGCTTCCGCCCGTTCAGTACAGGCACTAAATCCGAACTAGCGCAGCCTAATGGTACGCTTGTTCCTCGTCCACTTACACCGGCGAATTGGCACGTCAAGTGACACTACGGCCAAATTTCTGGGCTGAATTTCGACGATCGCTGTCGAAAAGGAGTCGCCGTCACCCCACACTGCCGCCTGGCGCGGCGTCGCCTGCTGAGTGCGAATCCGGTGCTGATCGGCCGGGCGGAGGTGGGGGGATGAGAGCTGCTGGCCTCCCTGTCACCAGTCGCATGTCCTGGCAACACGGCGCTGGCCCGGCCGCGGCCGCCGGGTAACTCGGAGCCTTGCAAATCAGCCGCCATGTATGGCGCCGGCCGTCGCGCCGCCGGTCACCTGCGCTGTCGGCCCGCACCGCCTGGTGAGGGCCGACCCGACCCGGCCCGCAGCGCGACCGAGCTGGCGTAGGCCGGCGCCGGAGCTGCGGGCCAGCGCCGGCTCCGGCCGCTCCGACGCGTCCCACTCGAGCGTATCGTTCGCAGCGGCACGGCGCGGGTGCAGGGCGCACCGGCGGCCGGGCCTGCGGGACAGGAGACAGCGCGGTGCACCCGGACGCGGCCGTCCCCGACCGGCAGCGGCTTATCCGGTGGCGTCGCATAGGTTCGGCGAAGGCGGCGCCGCCCGGCCCGGCTCAGCCGGCGCTGACGCTGACGTCACCGGTGAGTCACGTGCCGGCCGGAAAACCGCCGCCCAAGTCTGGCGGCGGACGGCCGTTGCAGCGCGCCGGCCGCCGCCGACAGCTGCACGCCGAGCCGGGCGTACCGCCGCCGCGGGCTGGAGCGGCGCCGGGCGGCAGCGGACGCAGCACCTCGCCGCACATCCGACCCCGGTGAAGGGCGGCGAGCGGGCACCGCACGGGAGCAGGCCGTACGTGACACACGGGAACGTGACGCAACCGAGATCTTGACGCGGGATTTGGAGACCATGCGGAGAATACGACGGGGCATTCTGCTGATGACTCTCGACTTTTACCCGCAACCATTTTGACCACGGGAGTCCGGAAAAAGCGGGACAAAAACGGATTAGGCCGCGGTGCAGCCACAAGCCGCTCATGAGCAGGGATCGGAGCCAGAAGCCGTAACGGCACGCACCCTCGTCACCTTCCGGCCAAGACGGGCACGCCGCACAGTTGACGGCTTTCCCTGAGAAGCACCATGGGCTACATATGCAGAAGGCTACTCTGCACTCAATTCAGATATAATGGCTACTTGTGCTCTTCAAACTCAGTAACATCAAACAGCACTGCATCCATTTGTTGACAGGGTGCAAAGATCAGCAGGGATAGAAAGACATTGCTTTGTGAGCTGTACCTAACTTGTCTTGTTTAGTACCTAATAGTTGTACCCAAAATTGTCCATGTTTGAAACATCTATGCAGCCATCCAATATTCTGCTGGGTAACTTGGCAGCAGCTCACAAAATTGTATTCATATCTCACTTTTATCTCCTGAGAGCATATTTCAGAACATGAATTGGTTTGAAAATGATAATACCATTGTTGCACTTTAGGTCTAACAGTACTTATGCCAGAGCGATGCTGCACACATGATACCAAACCACAGATAAACATAACCTTGATTACATTGTAAGTAAAACTGATCAACAGCAAGATAGCCCTGTCATCCTTCAAACAGAAGTGCACAGACCTGTTGGCTCCACCCATCATGTGGAGGCATAAGAAAATGGCTTTATGTGCGCTTAATAACAGAGAGATTTTTCATGAGGGTGGCTCATGAGGGAAGTTCACAGGGTGGCTTCAGACACCAATGGCTGGGTACAAAGGTCAAACCTGTTACCTATAGATAGCCAAGGGAACATGAGGGCTGTGATGCCCTAGTTACCATGTCTTTTTGTAAAAGCCTAATACAAGTACCTACATATCAGCATGTATATACAATTGAGTGCTAACATCCACCAGATCCAAATTGAGATTGGGCTTTTTTGTTTTAGCTCTGATAAATCATTTATTTATTACTGCAGCTGTTTTGCCAAGTTCCATTAAAAGCACAGGAATGATCAAATCATGTCATATAATTTATTTGATCAGATAACATGACACATTGCCAAGTCTGCATGAAAGCTATCAGACATCATTTTACACAATGAACTTTAAAAATATTTGCATGCCAATATTGCAGCAATGCCACTGTAGTTAAGTAAATCAATAAAACCTTTGAGCCTTTACATCTGAAACATTTGCTTTCACTGTGCCAGTTGCTATGTGTATAACAAAATGCCACAGGTTAACACATTCCCATAATGCATATAGCACTACAGCATGTGCACCTCAAACCAGGAGAATGCCAAGTTTAGAACACAATTCTGCACTTGCTAGAGCAAGCAACATGTGGAGACTTTTTCTCAAGGACTGTGAGTGGGATATATGAGATATTTTGTACTTAACCATGCCAATGTCAAAACAATCTCAGAAGAAGCAAATGGCTTTACATTCTAGTTCCTACAACAAAATGATAAACAGGAGGTACAAAAGGGTGGAATATGGCACATCTAGCATCTACAACACCTCCATATCTGAGAGAGAAGCTGTTCTCCATCCACATCATGTGTCCACACCCCAGCAAAAGACATGAACTACAATGCTTTGCTACAAAATAACTGTGAAACATAAAACAAACACATACTGAACATCAATAATGGGCATGGTTTGCATCTGACATACATATCCCCTACTCCTCACCCCACTATAGAACCAGTCCCCTCACCATCATATCAACCACAATGATGCCTGTTAAATGCTTCACAGGCCCACAGTTCCTCTTAGTGCCACTGTCCCTTTCAAATATTGGGCTCATCCTCCCAATATTGTTCTAGCTTTTGAGACAAAAACGTATCAACAGCACAAGGATTAGCACAAGCCTTAACCTGAATTAACCTATAAATCATCATACACTATACTCGTTGATGAAGCCATTCAGAGGAGAGCAAATTATTTCCCGCTAAGTACAGCTTCAAGTCAAGATAACCGCAGTTGTAATCGCGATGTCATGCCAGTTGGTGCGTCGTGGCTGCCGCAAAATTCGTTACTGCCAGTCACCTGCAACAGGTAGCAGCTAGTGCACACTCACCTTTATGATAAGTTCGACTTCTGGAACATTTCCATTCTCATTCCCATTCACATTCTCGTCAGCCATCGTCTTGGATCTGTTCTGGATTTGTGATAAATACTTCGCACACAGAACGAGCGCGAACCGCCCCGATCCACAATCGCCACAGCCGAACAAGTGACTATTTGGCAGCTGAAGCTTGGAGCTAGGAGCTGAACACATTGCTACCAAATCTGGTTACATACTACGTAAATTCTCAGGGAATGTTGTAATCCCCCAAATGTCTTTGGACACGTTCAGGCATACCCGTCGCCCGGGGCAAGGGCGGATCTAGTGGGACAATCAGGCCATGGCTCCGCCCCAAATATAGCCTCAAATCGGGCAAGTGCCACATTTTCAGTACCTTGAAGAAAATTTTACAACCACAGTTCAATGGAAAGATTATTTCAGTACGACCCTCGCGGAAACGCAGTTTGGTGGCCCTTCGGACCACCCAAATCTCTTGGTCAAGGTACTCCAAAACTTCCACCTCGGCTTCTCGAAACCATATAACCTTTATTTTCGCCAGGCACTAAATGTCAGCGACACCACAAAGGGTCTCACATCTTCATTTTTAAACGATACCAAACCCCAGGGGCACTGCAATATTCGTGCCGCGTCACTTCCTGGAATCCTACATCAGCCCATTCGGCAAAGGAACAACAAAACTTTCCTTTCGGGTCACCATAACCTTTGCTTTCAAGCGGCACCGAACTCCACGGGACACTACAAAAAAGGCCACACACTTTCATTCTCAAGGGGCACCACATTTAAGGGCCACCACACCCGGACAAAATCCAGGATCGCTCTACCGGACGGAGAGGCACCATAACCTTTCCAATTTCAATGTACGGCAAACCCAGTCTGGCTATTTAAAAGACCCAAAACCTTACATTTTAAGAGAACAAAAATCCAGGGAAATCCCGATTTATCATTTTTACCTTGACGAAATCCTGCACCGGCCACTAAAGCGAATGTACGCCGGAATATTTAATTCGGGGCGTCATGACCCCCCTCATTTTTAAGAGGCACTCAATTCCAGAACACATGATTAAGGACGTAAGACCTGAAATTTTCACGCGACGACGAAGTCCAGAAAGCCATACAAATGGCTGCAAAATCTGCATTTTGATCAGGAACCCAATTCCAAAGGTCTCGCCATTTTGAGGGCGCAGGTAGGAGGGTAGGAGTTAAGAAGGGGGAGGTACACGGACACATGGCCCCTTAGGTCCTTCGGTCCGTCGGGACCGACCATCAAGGGAGAACCCGAAGGACAGGTTGGATGTCATACGAAGGATGGCCTACCCGAAAGCCAAACCCTAAAATGTCATTCAGGAGGCTTCTCGCACCAATCGGGGCCTGTCTAGGACAGTGAGGGGCTCTATATCAGTCAGCTGACTTAGGCCACGAATACTGAACAGTCGGTTCCGTGCCGGTCTGCAGCCTGGGTGCTCCTTTGCCAAGCAGGGGCGAGGCCGGGGCCTGCAAATGACAACCAAAAGGCCTCCTGGATTGGTTGGGACCACTGAAACTGTGAAGAACCCTTTGTGGTTATTGGGGGCCACAGTGCCTTACAGAGTACCTTGGGTTGGCAGTGGGTCCCAAGTCTGTCAGGGACATTTCGCTGAACATGGACGGGTACGGGTTCTCAAATGTCAAAGAAGCTCTTGGGTTGGTAAAACTCTCTTGATAATGCAAGGATATACGACAAATGACAACGCAAGAGTTTGTATTCACAGTGAGACAGTGGAGAGGCCCTGTGTCAGTCAGAGGCCCCAGCGCGGAATGAGGGACGCTCTGCACTGTTTTGAGCAAGGACCGATAAGCCGAACTGGTGTCTCGGCACCAATTACTAGACTCCCGGCACTGGTAGGGATCTTTTTGAGTCAGTGACGGCCCCTACGGAAGGGGCCCTTCCGTCCCAGTCCGTGATCCCTTGCGGCTGCCACTCCGGAGATACGGGGACCGGGGGCTCGCTGTTCGATTCGGAGGCCCTCAGAGGGATGCATCATGCACTGTGCAGGTCGTCACCGTGTCGGTGCCGGTCCAGCTCCTCCTGAACAGTAAACTGCACCTTCGCTGTTTGGGCGTAGGTTCTATGAACAGTTCATACGACACGGGCAATATAGATTACGCCATTGCGTCATGAGTTCATGGTGCTGAACGTGCTAATCCACTCCGAGCAGTAATCGGAATATCGCACTGGTGAAATCTACGGAGCGGAATGTCTTCTAGAAATGTACCAAATGATTTCATAAAACGTTCGAAAGTATCGCACTTGGATAAGTGGTCGTGTTCACCCGCTCGTGGTCGAGAATGGCACTGAGTGCCGTTCACGACCACGAGCGAGGCCGACAGGCCCATGGAAAGTGCAAAGCCTGGCGTTGGTGCTCTTTCTCCTAGACTGCGAGCGCGCATGTTTAAACCTGTCTTAGTTGATATTTCGCTGCAAGATTGTAAGGAATGAAGTTTCCGAATTTCGGCCGAACTAGTAGTTTGATATGAACAATAACAGAAGAACATGGATCTATAAAAAGTGGGCTAAATCCAGCCAAACACATTTTTAGGTGATCTGGGGATCACATTCCCTGCTGCGTTTCAACCAGCAGTACCCCGTTGTGCACCGCGGCGACCCTCTCATACTATGCTTCTGCCTGCGCCGCTGGTCATGCAGTGTTTGTGTATCCCCTCGATAAAACTGAGGGCGCAAAAAAAACAATAAAAAATGCGTCCTCACCGCTACAAAATTACGCATGCTACTGACACACTTGGTTGAGCACTGATGCAACCAAACAATGCTGGACGCCAAAGTTTGAGATATACGAGATGGCGACTTTTCTTGGCGGTTTCACCGCGGATTATAGCAGCCGTGTATTCCGATCAAAAGGAATGTTTCAGATTTGAAGATATCGAAGCAAACATGATATATGATTAAACAAGCGCACTGACAACTATCGGTATTGTTTAAAACAGAGAAAACTGCTCTAAATAATACCATTTCTCTTCTTAGTAGATATGCTTTTCGACATGCCATTGTTTGATTACGTCATCGTGCATTGCAGAACATTGATTGAGAGCCAATTTACGGCCATTATATGTGCAAATCGTGCTAACGAACGCTAGATATGAACTACTTCACCACTATATTTTTCTCCGCCTTGATCGCCGCGCGGCCTATGGAATGGCAGGATTTGAATGACGTTATTATCACGTCATGAATGTCAAGTGATCTTGAAATACTACCACGAAATACTCTCCCATTTTCACGAGCGCGTACATCAGAAACTAGAAGGCTTTAAGTCTTTAACACGCGCCCGGGTGGCCGGCTAGATACCCTTCGCCCGGGTGGGTGCAGGGGCGGGGGCAATTTGACCCCACTGATATTTCGGGAACTGAGAAAGTTAGAGACACCAAATTTGCAGGGTGTCTTGACCTGCTCGTGAACTCACTTAGGTCAAAGTTTGAACTTCCTAGGCCATGACCTTCAAGTCAAATAAGATCAAACAAGGTAAAATTCCAGGTTGGTCTCTAAAGTGCCCCCAAAACCCAGGAAACTGTTTCTAAGCAAGATGTCAAAAGCCTATTTGAGGTCAGTGACCTTGTTTGACCCTTTGAAGGTCATGGTGACCAAAATCATACAAGACTGCTCTGAGTTTTGCATTTGAATAAGCGACAGATATTACGCTAGGCAGTATGTCCATAAAACAAAATGTCGACCCGGGTCATCTTAGGTCAATGACCTTTCCTGACCTCTAAGAAGTCAATGGAAGATGTATATTGCGGCTCCTGCTGTCAATAAATTCGAAATGAGCATCACAAACTATCATACAGCAAGCCCTAGAGTAATAAATCAGGTTGGTTGTGACCTTGGTTTGACCTTCATACCTGACCTTAGTTCAACTTAGTTTGCTCATCCAATATTTGTAGTGCCTAAGATAGCGTCTCAGATATGCATGGCTTCGTCAAGTACTCCGTTATTGTATCAGATTGGACCATTCCCTAGAAATTGCCTTCCCCGGGAACCACGGCCTGACTTTGACCTGCCATAGGTCAGCAACCCTAGAAAGTACATGTAAATTTGTGATGTTGAACGATCCGCTATTCAACTTTCTAAAGCTATGCAAAATTTGGCGCGGCTACGCCGTGCCGTTCGGAAACCATTCTGGAAAAACCTTCGGGGGAGGGGGTCAATTCGATCCCCCCCCCCCACCCGAGCGTTTGTCAAGAAGAGCAGGATTGGGAGCTGCACCAAATCGTCTTCAAGATGGCTATTTGGCTCAAAACCCGATATAAATATAGAACACACCCTTCAATTTTTATATCCGAATGCAGTATTTTACGCGCCGGCGGCGCCGTGTATCTAGTATCACCCAATCATTAAACATTTGGAATCCATTTTACTTATGCATCGCCTAAGCCATATTTCCAAGTTTTAGTTTTAATCTTACTCGGGTTTACTCGCATTTATTCCATCATGTTACTCAAAATATGCAGCACAAGATCTGTCTATTTCCATGTTAACAACAAACATTCTACCATTTCCAGGGCCAGATGTGTTACTAGATACTACCGGATAGTATATCACGCCAAAAGTTTACGGATTTCACTGGTTTCGCCGGTTTCTGCTAGTTGCAAAAGCCCCTAGTATTTTAACACTCGCGTCATGCTATGTTTCTTAACTCATCACAACTTGGAATTCGTGCAAAAGTTGCTGCTTTCGCTTTAAACATTTACTCTGAGGCAAGCGCCCTATACAATGCAGCTCTCTGCTTGTTTCGTCGCACGAAAGTTAAGGGAGTGCCAGGCCTTTTTTGTGCTTTTACTCATGGCTAGAACAAACGTATACGATTTAAACAGTAACACCAGTTTTGTTTAGCTTCTTCTGAACAACTAAGAATCTCTATTTGAAGTAGCCGACGCGACGGGAGAAATCTCATTTAACTCCCAGCTCACCACTATGAAAGCAATGCATTTCATTTCTCTGCTTTTTCCAAAATGTGTATTCTGAAATGCTTGCAACACATCACTATTTGTGTAATAAACGTCAAAAAACTTGAAACACTGTTTAGACACAAAAATATGCCAACATGAGTCATTCTCCGCGAGCTCAGCCAAACGATATTCTGTCATTCG